CAGAGGACTGTCCCTTACAAGAAGGCCTTTGCATAGGCCTTTAATCCTGTCCCCTTAGCTGACTAAGATCCTGTCTATGACTTCTAGAGGTGCCTTCTTTACCCAAAAGGTTTTCTTTGGGCTTCTGCTGGACAAACTCCCTTCCCTGCTCCCTTGAGACTTGGGCATGGCATCCGATAGAACACCCACTGGGTCTTCCAAGCTGGGGTCTGGTCTAGCCTCCTTCTGAGTCTCCTTCCAGCCTTGCTGGGGACGCAGGAGCAAAAATTCCACCCTCTCCTGGAAGCTGCAGGCCCTGTGAGGACTGATTCTGTGGAACTCATTTGCTGGGCCCCTAGAGTTTGGTGTAAACTCTGGGTAAAAGGCCATGTGCGTCCAGGTTCCTTTTGGGTGCCATACCTCTTCCCCACACACGGCTCTGTGATGCTGGCACCTCAGACTTTCCCACACAAGCAGATAATGTACCTTCCCCACGGGCCCACCACTGTCTTATCCTCAGCATCAGAACACAGACAAGTCCCTGTCCACAGTCCTCTCCAGCTGCCTTCTAGAAAGGAAGCCAGTCGTCAGGAGTGAAAGCAGGGCAGTTGTAGATGGACAGGCCTGAGAAATGATGGGTGCCTGCTCTGCCCTTTGCCACAGCCTTAGATAACGTGCCCCTGGGAGTTTTCCTTCAGACAGACTTGAAGGATCTGCCCAGTCGTATGGGTTACCTTTAAAATAAGCAGGGTGGCGATCGTGCTAATTGGCAAACTGTTCCCCACACAAGGTTAACCTGCCTGATAGTCAACCTGCTCTTCTTTGTTCTAGGGAGCAAAACGCTTTGTGTGCAAAAATCCCTCTGAGACCAATGTATCAATTTGAGATAGAAGGCCGGTCTTTTAATAGTCTAGTTCTTCTCATTTAAACCTTCGGGAGATTCCTCTGTCCACATAGGTTTGTTTCAAATTAAAAGCAGGATTTCATAGGATTACATATTAATAATCTAAATAGCATAACACCACCCAGTTTAAATAGCTTTGCCCTTTGGACTGCTGACCCAGCCAAAAACCAGCTCACCCCTCCACGGATAGCTGATGACGTGCACTGCCCACACCCAGCCGGGCAGGAATTCACAGCTTGCTATTCGGGTCACCTGTTGGGGCACCCGTGTCTGTATGCCATGTCTTTGGGAGAGCAGAGGGGCTATCTCTGCATCCCACACACACAGTTACACTGTAGACCACGTGAGTCCTCACCGAGAAGCTGTGAATGGGGCCGTAGCTGGTCTAGACCCGAGCCTGGTACTCCTCTGCAGCAGCAGCAGCAGCTTCACGGAGCTGACAAGAACATCCTAACTGTGAAGTCTGCTGTTGTCTGCAGTGCCGGCCGGGTGCATTCGCCTTCACAGGGATCATATTTATCTCAGTGTATCCTAGTGCCGGCCACGCAGTCCTCACACCCCAGGAGACTGTGTAAGAGTGGCAAATGACAGGCTTGCGTGTCGCGTGAATGTACATTTGCTGTTTGGAATATATCGGAAGCACGCAGTAGTTTTCAGTGGGGAGGCATTTGCGTTCTGCATTCACAAACTTTTCTGGTCTTATTTCCCTTGCTTTCTTTATATCCTCCCCCACAATCCCCACCCCTTTCCTTTGCATGGAGTTCCTTCTGTCCTTCACAGTAGTTCACTGGTAAAACACAACACACAGAGACATTTACGGGCAGGAGGTATTTGTGGCTTCAGAGTCTCATCCATAAAGCTGTATTTCCCACAGGTGTGTCTCCTGCCCTCACCAGACAATGCTTCCTCCAGCCATGCCAATCCACAATACTGACTAGATAGCACAGACAGCCTGTATCTGTTACAGGAAGCTGACTGCAATTCCCATTGGGCTGTCAGTGTGACCCCAAGCCCCATGCAAAATGAACTGTGAGGATGCTCCAGAACAATTGTTGTCTCTCCATGGACAAGATTTTTCCTACTCAACCGGCAGCTCTCCCAACAGTAGAAGGAGAAGCAGAGGTCTAGAGGTCAGCAGAGGACAGGAAATAATGTGGATTCAGACAGAAGAGCAGGAAGACCACTTGTAGCACTGAGCATCCACACTGAGCCAAGTCCCACTTAGGAGGTCCCTTCTCACCCTGGTCTACTAGCCCAGGACAGGTCTGTGACTTCCAGATGCTTCCGTGAAAGGGACTGTCTAGGGCAGGCTCTCTCTAGCACACGGCATTGGTTTCAGACAAGTGTCTGTTGCGTGGTGTATGATCAGGTGAACCAAAATGAAGAACAAAACGGGAACAGAACGGGGGCTATTGTCCCCTCCATACGGGGTTCGCTTTCAGACAGGAGAATTGCAGTTTGCACTTATCCAAGTAGCAGCTGGGCTCAGCAGCCTGCACATGACAGTTTGTTTGGCTCACAAAGAGATCAAAGTGAAAGAAGAAACAGATACAAACTCCACAGGGACACATCTGAACACCTTTGTGTATTTTCATATCCTTGGAGAATATACAAGCTCTTCCCAAAAGGCTCATTTCCCCCCACCTCCCCCCAGAAAACTGCCAAGTTTCAGATACTTCAGCAATTGAGACCCAGGTGGCTTGTTCTTTGGCTGCAGACAGAAAACATAAGCCCTAAAAGTGTGTGGTGCCAGGGGCAGCGGAGGCAGAGAGCAGCCTTCCCTCAGGGTATCAACCTCCTCTTCTACTTTTGAGTCAAGGGTTTATGAGAACAGACTGTCTACAAGTACTCTAGTACTTACCACCTAGTAGCATCCCATACAAAGCTGTAGGAGCCTTGTGAGTCTATCTTGGGGACAAGAGTGAGCATGCCATAGCAGGGTTGGCTTCTCCCAGTTGGAACTATATACAGAGTAGATCCCTGGAAACCGCCTCCCTCAGGTAGGGTACCCTTTATTACCCAAGGTAATTCAGATCTCTTTGGAGTTGCTCATCTTTATCCAGAACCATAATTTCTACCACAATGCCAGCCCCATCCCCTGACAAAGACAGCATCTTCAGATATACACAAATGCAAACCCTAATCTCAAAAAAAGGGTACAGTGGTCTACAAATGTGCACTTGAACATGCTCAAGCACACGCGAGCGAGCGCGCGCACACACACACACACACACACACACACACACACACACACACACACCAGTTGCCAAAAGAGAAAAGATATTTATTTTGTAAAGGAAAAAAAATGAAATGTACATCAGGAAAAAGACCCGGGGCAAGCCTAGTCATAGGCCTGAGGTTTACTCCAACAACCTCAAGAGAGTCTATGGACCCCACCTTCTCCTGCCCCTCCAACCTAGGGCTAATCCCCAGAGTTCCTTTTGGGGAGTGTAGTCAATCTCTGCTGACCACAATCCAAGGGCAAGAGCACAAGCTTATACATAGATGCTCAAAGCACTGTGCTCTGTAAGTCACAAATACATGGGATGGGGCTGGGGAGGGAAGCGTCAGAACTAGAGGTCAGCTGGGAGCAGAGTCCACACCCTTTGAGGCAATCAAGCCAATAAGCAATTCTAAGCAGAGCTCTGCTGAATGCTGCCTGCAGATGTGTGAGTGGCCATTGGGCCATGTGGTCATCATGAACTGACCCAGGGCTGGGGAGGAAGGATTACAGGAGTCAACTAGGTCCTGGAGGGAACATGATCGTCCTCCTGGTGCCTGTACCCTCAGAGCTCCTGGGCGGGCACCTAGACCAGCTCTGGTCCTGAGGAGGGTCTCAACCCAGGCATCCCATGTCTCAGAACCTAGGTTAGCCCTAGTCAAGGAGTGAGTGGTACTTGAGAGCAGTAGCAAGAAAGCTAATTTGCAACCTGGCAGAATCTGCCTGGTGAAAGCAAGGCTTTAAAAGCGCGGCTTTCCAGCGAGATGCAGACAAAGGCTCGGTGCGCACGCGGTGGACTGTGGCACCAAATCCGCGCTCAGGGCCCGGCGGGAGCCAATCTCCCAATTTCCCATGGATGTGCCCTCTCAGAGCACAGACTCTCCCACCCGGTCCCACCTAGTCCCCTCCCGACCCAGTGTTCTGGTCCTCACCCTGCTCGCCCTCCATCAACAACCGCAGCGACTCCTTCCTCTGCGCATCTGGAGTCTCTTCCCTCAACATCTCCTGCCTGCCTCCTTCTTTCCAGGGAAGCTCTGCTTGACTCCTCTGATCAATCTTGTCGTCGCCCCCCACCCCATGACACGCCTTCTGCTGCCCCTGCCCCAGAAGGCTTTTAGCCCCGCGCCTGAGAGTGGAGAGGCAGAATGGTCATGCTCCTGTCGTCCCGTGGGTCGAAGTGAACCAGAGGTGCCTCTTTCTTCCATGCTAATGCCCCATTGTTCTTCCTCTTTCTTTACCCACACAAGCAGCACCAGCTACCAAGAATCTGTGTGAGGTGGACTGGGGGGATGCGTCCTCTTCATGAGGGTGGGCGCATCCAGTTCCATATCACTGGTCCATGCGCCAGAACATGGACACTGAGGCGCGAGCCCAGCCTTCCCTTTACATTTGGAAGCCTCAGGTTCCCGAGCCCTGCCTGCCCCCACCGCAGCTGCAGGAATCCAGCGGTTTGGATCCCCGGGACCCCCAGTGGAAGGAAGCGTCTATACTCCAGTCTAGTGGTCACAGGCTGGAGAGAATCATGGAATAATCGGTGATAAACTTAATGGTCTAAATAATGGGCCAGGTCAAAGTGGCCAGGGACAGCTCTGGGGAAGCAGGTTAGTTTCTAAATGTCTGGCTCCCCGACACCCTCCGGTTCACCCTTCCTCTGCGCGCACTCGGGGCTTGGGAAAGCCCCGTGTCCCTACGCTGACCGGCGGTCCCGAACGCCACGGAGGTGCCACCAGCTTCCTGGGGCCCACTGGCCGATCTCAGCCGGGTACACACGCACCTTGCCGGCCACCCACCACCGCAGCAGTTCCCTCCCCACCCCATGATCCAAGGCCCCGACTCGACCCCCACCAAGAGAGAAACCACCCGGGGCCGCGGGGAGCGTGGAGCCGGACCACTTACTGGGGCTGAGGAAGCACTCGGTCAGCCTTCGGAAGCAACTCGCATTGTTAGAAGGTCCATCTTCCATGTCGGAGCCGAAGAGCAGCGGCCAGGCGGTGGCTAGGGGGAAGGCGGCGCCTCGGGGCCGCCACGGAGTTCGGCCACCGGCGGCAGAGCCGGGGCCGAGGCCAGGGCAGCCCCCGCCGGCGCCCGGAAAGCCCGGGGAGTCTGTGCGGCGCGCGCCCGGGTGGAGGGGGAGCCGCGGCGGCGGCGGCGGTAGCCGGGGCCCGGCACGGGCTGGGAGCAGCAAGCCTAGGACCGCAGGCGAGAGGAAGAGCCGCCGCCGCCCGCCGCTGCCACCGCCGCTGCGGTGACTACTGCCGGGGGGGACGCTCAAGGGAGCTGCCTCTTGTCCTCCTCCTCCTCCTCCTCCGCCAGCATCGCCGCCGCCGCCGCCTCCTCCAGCCGCCGCTGCGCCCTCCCTTCTCGGGAGACGCACGGGGAGGTGGAAGGCAGATGAGGAGGGGACGAGAGGGGGAGGGGGCAGGGGGGGCGGCGGCCAGAAGTACCAGGAAGATGAAAAGGAGGAGGAGGGGATAGGGGAGGAGAAGGCGAGCGCCGAGGGAGCGCGGGCCGCCACCCAGCCGCAGCCGCCGGCGCTGAGCGCGGAGAGGGCGCTGGGGCCCCCAGCGGGGCTGGCGTGGCCTGCCGGAGACAGGGACCGGGACAGGGGCGGGGGCGCCGCAAGCTCCTCCCGGCCGCAGCCAGGCAGCTCCCGGGCCAAGCTCAGGCCCACTGTGCTCCACCCGCTGGCCTCTCCGCGCCGGGGTTCCTGACGGACTTGGCCGCGACCGGGCTCGTCCCCAGCCGCTGGCAGCGGGGCCTGGGGGCGGGGAGCGAACCGCTCCTCCGGGCTGGCCATGGCCCTCCTCCCCAGCCTCCAAGGGGGCAGGCGGGAGGGCGCGGCGGCCGGCACTCGGCGGGCTCCGCCCCCGCAGCACCAGCCCTCCCCGCGATGCACAGGCTCCGGTCCTGTCCGCCGCTCACGTCTTGGGTGCCTTGCCGGCTGGGGGTTCACATCATGTTTCCTTTGGGATTCAAGAGGACCCCGGGCTGGGGACGAGTCCCGAGTCGCAGCGCCTCGGTGCGGGCTGGTGCGCACAATCCTCGTCCTTCCCCGCCGGGCGAGGGGCTGCGGGGACGCTGCCCGCGGGGCGGGGCGTGGTGTGTGCGCGCTCCGAAGCCCGAGCCGCGGCGACTGCTCCAAACCAGCGGAGAAAAGCGCCGCAGTGCCGCTGCCCGTGGAGGCGGCGGCGGTGGCGGCGGCAGAAAACGCCCACTGGCGGAGCAGGCGCTCCCCGCGCCGCCACCGCCCGCGCCCACGTTGCGCGTCCGCTGGGACTCGGCCCCGCCGCGTCCGGCCCCAGCACCCCGGCACTTTGCATGTGGTGTGTGCCCCAGGCCGGCCAGTCTCCCTGGCAGTGCCACATCTGGGTCTGGCGTTCCAGTTTCTAAACCCACAGCCTGGTAGCTGTTCTAAGCAGTGTGCGAGCCACATCCGCCTGCGGGTGACCTGAGCCAGGGAATCCTCCCTTTAGCCGGCCAGCTGCATCTACCGAGCAGGGTTCAGCCAGGGCTCCAGGAGGGAAATTCAAATTCGGACACTTAGCAGAAGTTTTAAGATCAAGGCAGAGTTCCCATTAGGTCTCAAAAGGCGGTTCATCCTGGGACTCCCTTTCCCATACTTGCTTTAAAACGAACTTCGTGTGCGCCAGCCCACTTGGTCCCAGCGGGACTGGAAGACAGAAAGAGCAAACTAGGGCTCAAAATACGAAACTTTAAAGAGTTCATAGCTCTGAAACCCAGAGGCCATCTGTCGCCAGCAGCTTACTTCTGCCCCCTACTACTTCTGCAGCCTGCAGTCCAGACCGCTTCTGTAGAAGGAAACTGGCCCACTGGGCTCTCTGAACAAGGAACTTCGGAAGTTGGGCGCACTTCACTAGCCTGCAAGCCCAAGTGCAGGTGCTGGCGTTCGGCGCTCGCCTGCAGGGACCGTCTCTGCACACCCGGTTGGAGTGTGGGGCAGTGTCCTGGTTGCCTCTTGATAGAACGGTCGGGGTCATCTTCCCCGGAGAGAGCGCGCGAAAGCCACAGCCCAGCACCCCAGCTCGCCTGACCCAGGGCTGGGACCCGTGGCTTGCGACCTGCCAGGGACCGCTTCTCCACATCAGAGTTTTCTTTTTCATTGAGACGTTTTTCAGGATTTTTGGTTTGTAGCGAGTTCCACATTCTTCTGCAGTGAAGTCTTTTCCCGACTCCCGACTCTAAACCCCTAAGTGTGGAAAAGGAACAGTCACAGTTGCACCAAACTGACCAGGTGGCATTTCAGGGACGTGGTGCTTCGGGTGTCCTCTGACACATCAAGTTCCCGGGGCGTTTTGGCAATTCCGGGACAGACCGCCTCAGCGTGTCCATGGAGCCAGTCCACCTTAGCTAGGGAATCCCTGAATTTGGGAAACAGGAAAATGGTACTGTGACTCTTACCTTGGGGGCTAAGAGTGCAGAGACGTCGTTTTTCTCATCCCCTCCCCAACCCCTGACCCCTGTGAAGAAAAAAATAGTCAGAACGAGTGGTGCTACCAGGTCTCTATCTGCAGCCTCAGGCTTGTGTCTTCTGAGCCGCACAGACCAGACCCGACCCTTGCTGGCGTGGCTGAGAGCTGGCGTTAGTGCCGGGTTTCCGGGACTGGATGCTCCTTGTAAAAGCGTTTGAGTTTCATTCTTTACAGGCATGCCGTTTTTTTCATGCCGCTTAAGCCTTATCGGTCGTTGGTTTTTGAGTTATTAAAACGATTTTCCAGGTACTCAAAAATTTACTTCTAGGTGGATATAAGCTACCTTGAAGGCGCAGTAGGCGGGTGAAAAGCATCCAATATTTGTTCTCTTAGTCTTTGTTAGATCAGGACTCAAACTCTCGTTAACCCTTTTCCAGAGTCAGTCAGTCAGTCTTCTCTTTTCCATCCGGTTGGTTCCCCGCGTTGCTTGCTGGAAGGGACGAGTATCCTGGACAAATTACAAAGTCACAAAGTGTGTAACGACGGAAGAGAGCTCGGAGGAGGTGTACATAGGCAATTACATCTTGATCGCCCGCCCCCCTCCCTTAACACTGACTGCCGTCCATAGTTGTTCATTTAAGTCTTCTAGGCACCTGGCCACTTTGAATTCCGAACACAGATCTAAAGACTCGTAGGTCTCAGATTGGTATTTCCCTTCCCTTTGGCGGTTCTCTGCGGATACACCCGGACCTTGCTGGACCTTGTCACTGCAAACCCCTTGTGATAAACACATCATTGAGCCTTAAGGAGTGCTGTGGTGGTGTTCCTAAACTTGGCTGTGTAGTTAGTGTTGGAATGACATCTCGGATTGTAGTTCGATTCGACCGCAGCTGTGGATGTTAGGGGTACTGGCCAAGGTGATCAGGTGCCCCGGCTGTCTCAACGCTCTTGGTAAAAAAAAAAATGATTCTCCTCACCTCAGGTGAAGTGTCAGCCCAACTTGCAGGGATTGAAAACTAAAAGAATAGTAAGACGGCAGTTAGCACCAGCACACATCAGAAACACCTAATTTATGTAATAGACTCTTAAGATACATCGATCAAGGCAGAGCCCAAGAAACATGGAAATGATAATTTTCCTAAAAAGATGTAAATTTTATTTTTAATTATCTAAAGTTAATAGCCAGCACGATTAATATTTGATAAACTTTTTTGGTAGACCTATATAGGTCGGTGTTTTTTAATAAATTCCTGTTAACTTTTGTATCACCTGGCGGGGGGGGGGGGCTGTTTTTCTCTCTCTTTTACCATGCTAACAACCGTAGTTCATTAACCCATGAAAACCAAGGTTAATTAAATGTTAAACTGACTGACTTAAACAGACAAGGTATGTGGGTGATTGTGTGACTGGGTGGCTCTGTGGTGTGTGTGTGTGTGTGTGTGTGTGTGTGTGTGTGTGTGTGTGTGTGTGTGTATTCCTCTTTCTCTTTACCTTTATTTTAACTTTTAGAGCTTATTTACAATGCAGAGACCAATCTTCAAAGCTGGTGACTAGTGTTGCCAACTCAGACTAAGATCATTTAGCTGGTACTTATCAGCTAGTGCCTTTTACACAGACCTTCTGCATCCTAACAAGAAGGTTTACCACTCTCTGATGTGAAAAACGCGGACTTCATTTTCCAGCACTTACTCTGGACCCCCTAAGCCCCACAAGTCTCTTCAGAGCTGGTTGTAACTCTGATTTACCAGGACGTTCCCTTCAATTTCTCCCACCCTCAGCCCAACACAGTTGTGTTTCTAGACTACTGGAATTTGGTTCTTCCTAACACATCTAAAGAAAGCTTCTGCCTGTGTGCTTTACATCGACAATTCCATTTTAAACTGACTGGCACCGGGGCACTTGCTATCCCATAACATTTAATAAAAGACAGACAGGCGAACAGACACTCCTTCCTCCCTGTCACCTGCTAAAAGGTGACGGATTTCTATTATTGGTTATGTTAGCAAACCTCGCTAAAGTGAGGGCTGTATTCTTACAGTACTGTCAGTCAAGCCTAAAAGGGAAAAAATGGAACATTATAATTCTAGTAAGAAAAATATTATTGAAATCAATGCTAGGATGGGGAAGTCTTGAAAACAAACCAGAGATGGTTAAAAAAAAAAAAAGTAACTTTTTCACTTACTGCCTAAGTTCCTCTGTCATCAATAAAGTTACTTTATAAATTTAAGCATTCATTATTAGACAAGTTTCAATTCTGTCATTTTATGTGACAAAACAAATAGCCAGTATAGTTTGCATTATTTGCAGTATAGTTTACATATTTGCATATTGTAGCAAATATCAGAATACTGTCTAGTTATTTTGGTTTTGATTTGTTCCAGTACGAGTACTCCACATAAATCTCAATGGTTCATTTCTTCAGAAGAAAGGGCTATGTGTATTTCTTGGCAGGAATAGGATCTAAGCAGAAACCTTTACCAGTCTAAACTGTAATGTTTAATTCCTTCATGACAATGCGTTCAGCACAATTGCTGTGAGTACTGAGTCCCGAGGGAAGTGGTGTTAGTAAGTACTGTCCAGGTTTTATAGTAATGAATACTTAGTTCTTGGGATAACCATGTTAACTTTTAACAGCACTCCGACATGACACTGATATTTAACCACACAGAACCAAGTTTCAAAGTTTTGCCTTTAAACAGTATTGCATCCCTGTAGAGACCCACAGCATTTATAGGATCCTGAACTGTTTCTCAGTGCTCAAGGCCACATAGTCGTTGGAACGCAGCCAGGAGCTCTGCTTAACCAACCAGCACCATCATCAAACTTTTGCAAATAAGATACAATGATTTCATTTCAAAGCAAAGAGAACATTGTGTCTCAAAAATCTCAATAATAAACCTAAAATAATCCTTCCAGAGAACTGAAGGTCATTCCCTACTCTAGAGTAGGAAGCCAGCACAGAAAGGCATCAGGGATACACAGTTGCATCCTGTATGGTCTATTCTGAACCCTGGGTACCAGTGAGTATTCAGGTATTAGTGAGGGAGGTGCCCAGACTGCCTCTGAATCCACCCTCCATGCTCATAGCTCAGAGCCCTCCCACCTGCCGCCTCGGGATATCACATGATGTGTGTTTTCTTCACTTGTTGCTTGAGAATCTTCTTGACAAAATTTTTAAAGTAAAATTTGTGTGCTTATTAACTTGTTACACATGCACACACATCACAGGTGCATGGATGTGCTGGGGGTGGGATCTATATGCCAGGCGGCACTAGTAAAGGTCAGGGAACAACTTTCTAGGCTTTTTTCTCTTTTTCTACTAGGTGGGTCCCAGGGACTGAACTCAGGTCACCGGGCTTGGTGGCAAGCACCTTTATTGGCTGAGCTGTCTTTCCCTTGGCTCATCTCTTTACTTCTAATTGTCACATTTTTATGATGGACCTCAACAAGTATCTTAGGGCTCTGAGGTAGTTATAAGAGAAAAAGAAACAGTGTTGGATTTGACAGCTCAGTCTCAAAAACTTTCCAAATGGTTCCTCCATCTAGGAATTGATTCCTTCCTGTTCTTCTCAAAAGTAAGTAAAGTGTGGCTCAGGGCTTAGGAGACACACCAAGTCTTGTCTCATCTGGACCAGAATTAGACGGGCCTTCAAGGGTGTGAGGTTGCAGCAGGGTTCGGGTG